TCTTGGATTCTAGATTGATTTGAGGTCAGATTGTTACTAAAAGACCTGAACAAACATCTGTGATCAGATTTGTTTACACAAGTCATGTTGAAAAGTTATAGAACTGTATGCTAGTGTAAATCTATATTCATGCCATGCCTGCCTCCTTGGTAATTAGTTCCCATACAATTCTAAAACAGATGGGTCTGATCATTTTTTGGGGTTTTTCTTTGCCAAAGGGGAAAAAAAGGATCCTGCACGACTCAGAATAAATAGAATACGTTATAGGAAGGATCCTGGGGCATTGATGATGCTGAACTTGTTTATGAAAAGCATGATCAATTTGTATTGCATCAAAAATCCCCCTTTGAGCCGCAGATCTTTAGATGTGGCTTTTGTTTTGAAATGTGCAATTTATCTCTTGATTTACCACATCACAAATCCATGAACTTATTTCATATCAACCTCTGCTCAACGAATGTTGAGAAAAAGGTGAAAAAAAGGAAAACTAAATACCAGCAAAGTTGGTTTTGCTGGTATCTTTTACTGATCTGGGTATGTTCGCTGATATAATATGTCCAATTGCTGGTAATAAGATGCCTATATCTTTTGCTTTCCGCCATAAACATAGGCTCCTTCTGTTGCTTTCAGCCACCATGAGTAACCTTGCTTCCCTAATGGTAGAAGAGACTATACAGAAGGAATTACTTCCGGCCATCAAAATTCATGATCAAGGCGCTTTAACCATAAGACATGCTTAAAACCCCCCCCCCCAAAAAAAAAAAAATCGTTAGACATGCTAGATAAAGGAAGTTTGCAGCTAACTCCAGGACTAATATGTGATGTTGAATTGTTTTCACCTCATGCTGAAATTCAGTTATGTCTCACTTGGGTTTCCTAGAATTTGACAATTTGTTTTCTCTATTTTTATGTATCTTCTCTCTGGAGGATATATTGTTTTACATACGATTCACGTCAGATTTGTTAGAATCCCTTGCAACTATTCCTCAGATTAATTTGAGTCTAAAATTTCTTGTTTTGATGCTTACTACGTATAACTAATGAACATTCATTGCATTCCAAATTCCAGGACCAAGTAATTCTTCAGCTTCAAGCTCTTAATCTGATGGTTGATTGCTGCATTTGCTTTACTTATCACCGTGCAATTTAAGCATAGCCAAGTCATGAGACCTAACTTGGATCTTGAAGTGGAGGCTTCTGCGGAAAATGAATCTGAAATTAGCAGCCAGGTTGCATCCAACATATTCATTCATGAAATATCTGCAGGTCCTTCTAGTGACAGCCTCCACAACGCGTCAGACAACACAAACACCATAGTATTTCAACTAAGTAATTCAGATCCTCTTTCACTTGACTTAACTCTTAGCTCTAATAACAGCGCGCTAGGCCCTGCTAGAGACTCCATAGGACTCTCATTCTCAAGCACCAGTGAGAGCAGTAATGAACCTGCGTCTCAAACCACATCAGCCACCATCCAAAGAGTCTTCTCTTGCAACTACTGTCAGCGCAAGTTCTTCAGCTCACAGGCTCTCGGTGGCCACCAGAATGCACACAAGAGGGAAAGAACACTAGCAAAGAGAGCTATGAGAATGGGGTTTTTCTCTGAGAAGTATGCAAGTTTAGCATCCCTCCCTCTTCATGGCTCTTTCAGGTCGTTAGGAATAAAAGCACACTCCTCACTCCACCATGGCTTTTCACCATCAATGATGAGGCCTTACGAGATGAAAAGCAATGCAAGATTCGATCAAGGGCATGTTGGGATGCCAATGTTCATGGAGGATGATGAGGCAGAACTGCTATGGCCTGGTAGTTTCCGGCAGGTTGGAGAGGCAAGTGATAATGATAATACTCATCATCACCAACATCATCATCAGAAGTTTGTGGTCACTGGAAGTTCAAATTTGAGTTTTGCAGAAGTGAATCCGGAAGTACACCTTGAGCAAGAGGACTCAACACCAGATTTAACATTGAAACTATGAAGGAGTTGGCTTATCAACTTAATTTACATATTTTTGTACAGTAAGACTTGGATGCAGTGGCAAGATTGCCAGATTGATTTTTAACACTGTTTGGGCTTTTCTTTTTCTTTTTCTTTTTCTCCATCAGTTTTTTTTTCCCGCCTTCCTCCTAGGAATTTCTGCTTTGGTGTTTCACTCCTTGTTTCTCCTTGTATAAGAGCTCTGAGATGACACTTTGAGAGCTTATGTGCTTGTTATATAAATCATGCTTTTGTTTACTGTAATTTCTGAGCTTCCAGTTTGTTTCTTCATCTTTTGTTTCCATTATGAAGCATACTTGTTCATGAACTTCCAATGATCACCAAACTTTCTGTCTGTGAAGAATGTGATAAAAGCTCTGGTGTACAGAACTGAAGAGCCAAGTTTCTTGATCAGAGAGACAGAAATGGAGTTGAGTCATTAAAATCCCCAAAAGTCAAAGCCTACTGAGCAATGTAGTAGCTACTGATGGACAGCAGCATTGTTCAAACTTGTTGGCTCACTTGTCAGTCACTGCTGTCTTCAGTTGTTGAGGCATAATTTGGATATTTAATCCTCTTTACTTGCCTCCTTATCTTCTTTAATTAAATCATATGCCATCATTTTTTTTAAAAAAAAAAAAACTATGGTGGGGCAACTAGTATGCCACATGTATTTCGTTGCTTTTATGGTAGCTTTGACATGAGAAGAAAAATGGGCCGCAGAATTTAATGTAATGGAGATTTTATGTTATTTTTAATTTATTATATATTGATTTTTTTTAGAACCAATTGATATATTAAGAAGCCAAATAATATTTTTCAGTAAGAAAAAGATATTCCATTTCTACATTATTAATATGTAGAAAAAATAATAAAGCTGAGGTGCAAACTTACAATTATGTGCTTCCACCTAGGCACGCTAATGTGGCAAGTTAATTTGTAATTTCATTTCATGCCATGCCATTTTTTTTTATCAATAAACTATTTATAACTTACCCTCTCCAACCCTCGATACAAGTTACAATTTTTTAAATAAGTCTGGTTCTTTTTTAAATTATATTCTGGAGATGTCTAAAATTTTAAAGCTTTTTTATTTTATTTTTACCCCGAATTGATTATGTCTCTGCACAAATTATAACATTTTTTTTATTCATTCTCTTTCACTCATCTATAAATAATAATGTATTTTTAAAAAATATATTTCTTACACGTTTATTTCCTTGAAGAAATTTTAACTGAGCATAATTATATTATTTATAATTTATAAAAAAACATCCAAATGAGTAGATTGATATCAATGAGTCTTCAATTTGAGTGGCAACTTTCACAGATGTTATAATTGGTAATTAGTTCAATTTTGATTAAAAAATTAATTATATATATTTTTTGCTAAAGTATAGGTATCCTCCTATTAGAGGTAATCATATTTGAGGTACTATCAGGCACCAAATGTGGGCACCTCTCCCAGCGGGGATTCGAACCTTAGTACTCATGTTATGAGAGACTAGCCCTTTCCACTAGACCTAATCCTGCTGGTTAAAAATTAATTATATTTATGCTTTCACACCTCTCATTTCACATCAATCCAAATGGACCTAGATTCTTTCACTTAAAGAGAAAGCTCTCCCCAGTTCATCTCTCTTTCAGACTTTGAACCTGCACATAATCAGATTCTCCTTAATAGGAAACTTTCACCGAGCTGCCTGGGTAAAGTTCAATTTTCTTTTAATGATAGCCAAAAATATGTGAGTTTGGTTAACTATATTAGAATATGTGTAATGGTTTCAAATTAATTCATGGATGATAATTATTTATTTTTTGGGTAACAAGCTATTTTATTATATCATTTACTAATTTAAATTTTAATTTCATTACGACTCAATTTACATAATTTTTATTATCATGAAGCTCCGACACTTCCCAACGATCTCTTGGAATTATGGTTTCTCGTCGATTAAAATTTATTCATTTTATTAGTTTTGAATTGCAGTTTTGACTTTGAATTAAATGGCACAACGAATTAATACTCCTCCGGTCCTTAATATAGGACCCAATTGCTGAGTTGGTTTTGGTCCTAAATATAAGACCCATTTCTCATATTTATCAATTTTCTCTAAATTACCCCTATGGATACTTCATCAACCATAATCAAGTAGAAGATAGAGAGGGGCATTAAGAAAGATGATTATGGTATTTTAGGAAAAACGTGTCACAATTTTTATAATTAACTAACTTACCTAACTTCCTTAATCTAATCAAATTAGTTAAATGGGTCCTATATTAAGGACCGGAGGAGTATTTATTAGACTGAGTTGAATGAATAAATTTTTTGGCAGCGAACATAATGTGAATAATTAACACATAACTATTATTTGAATTTTATCTGTAAATGGAATATAGTTTTAAATCAATTGCATTGCATAGAATTTTTTTTCCAAAAAAAAAAAGATTGGCTTGTTTAAAACTTTATTATCTGCAAATTTAAATTCATTTTATATATCAGCATTAAGAATTTATATTCTTATACTAAAGAATTTAGCATTCTTTCATTTTAAAAATTATTGTGTGGTTCTAAAAGAAAAATAATTATCAAAAGGTTTCAAGTAAATTACAAGTTTCCATATAAAAAATGAGAAAAATCACAGTAGGAATCACTTGTCATTTTACTAATTATGTTTTTGGTATGGTACTTATAATAATTTTAAAAATGCCCCCAAATTCCGACGTCCTGCGAATCAAAACGACTTCGTCGTTTCTTCCTTCTAGGATCACGCTTCAGTCTCAGATCTTTTTTCACCAAAAAAAAAAAACTCGCTTTCGCTTCCAGCCGCCATTTTATTTGCTTTTTTTCCCCCTTCTCATTACACTACTAATTTTTTCATGTTCGCGTCTCATGCTTACGTGAAGCCTCACTGACGCTCTGAACCCCAACCCTTATATTCTCTGTTCTTCTCGAATCCAAATCCCTCCTCTGCCTTCATCTCATTCGTCATCACAGCCTCGCGAAGTTGCTGTGACGAAGATGGATTCTGAATTCTCTTCTCAATTGAAGTCACAGGTCTTCCAGATTCTAAGCTCTAACGACAATACCCCAATGGAAGTTGTCTTTTCCCATTACTTCTCTTCCGATCAATCCCAAAAGTCCCAGGCTGTCTTGTTCCTCGAATGTTCCAAGAAATCCTACCCTGAATTGCTCTTCATCAAGCTCTTCTTCCTCGTACGATGTGGCGCCAATGTCGACACCCGCGCCAACGCCATTCGGCTCCTTCGCTTCCTTCGAATTTGCGACCTGTGGCCTAAATTACGGGAAACAGCGAAGTCCACACTGAAAGGTCATTTTCTTGCGTATATCAATGAAGAGAATTCAATGCCGGTTTTGAGAATGTTCTGTTATGTGGTGGCCGAGACGGTATGTGAGATTTACACGGACGGCAAGCATTGGCCAGAGCTTCTTGAATTTCTATTGACGTCTCTTGGAAAGACGAGCGATGACAAGTTTCGAGAAATTGCCCTTTTGGTTTTAGCGAAATTTCCGAGGGATTGCCTGTCGTTTATTTGTGATGTTCTGAAGGATAGCTTTCAGGTTCTTCATTCGTCGTTTCTGGATGGGTTGGCTTCGGCGAGCCCTGATGTTCAAGTTGCTTCTTTTGGAGCTGCTGTGAAGTTAATGCCTTTATTTTCGGAGCCTTCCAATCCGGGGTTGTTTCATGAACTTTTGAGGGCAATGATGGTTGGGGTCTTCACACTGTTGAGAAGCTCTCGAGATAGCTATGCTTTCACAGCTTTCAAGGAGTTGATATCGTTGGTGTCAGAAGGGCCTCAATTACTGAAGCCATACATCGGTGATATGGTTTTAGACATGCTGCAAATTGCGGAGAACTCAGCATTGAATGAGGAAATACATTGTTATGCCCTTAGATTAGTCATCACCTTGACAGAAAGAAAAGATTTTAAACCCATATTCTTAAGTCTGCCTCATCAGACTATGGTTAGGCTATTCTTAGTCCCCATGAAAATGTTGCTCTGTATTAAAGAAGATATAACAAGTAATGAATTGAAAGGTAAAGAGGATGGAAGTGTCGGGAAGACTAACGTCTACAACTTTGGATTAGGAAGCTTGTATCAACTTTCTGTCACCCTGGGGCAGAATATTATTCCAATTGCTTCAGAACTGTTGCCACTTTACTTGGAATCTCCAGAATGGCAGAAGCGTCATGCAGGAATTACGTTGCTTGCTTTTGTTGCCAAAGAGTTCTCATTTGAAACGGTGAACTGACTCTAGTCCTTCTATTAATGGTACTGACTGGTTGTGCCGACAGATAGTAAAACAGATAAGCTATAGATGGATGGCAGTAACAACTAATTTTTATTCTTGATTTCCCCACCACCATAAAGCCAAGGATGTACATGTTAGACCCTGGGAAAACAAGGGTTCTACTCTACCACATGAAACAAAATATTGGTTAATAAAAAATGGTGAAAAAAAGCTCAATTGGAAAGACAAGATGAATACTGAATAAACACAGGTTAAACTAAAAGTTGAGAAAATTGAATACTGCCTTAACCATCATGCATTTTCAGTGAGCTTCATCGAGTTGTAGCTATGATTTATTTCTAGTCTGAAAGAGATGGTTGACACATATACGCCTTAGAAAATGATATCATACACATTTTGCGGTTTGGCATCAATTACCTTACTCATATTTCCCTTTCCGTTTAGTCATTTTAGTCTATGGTCCTTCCACTGGACTTCGTTGTAAAATTTCGTTGGTCGCTCATATTGGTTCGGTTTCACTTTCTGGTGGTGGTTTCTTCTCACTGTCTAACATAGAATAATGTGCTTACATTCCAGCTGGAGTTTATGGACGATTCTCTGGGGATAGTGTTTGCCAAAATTATGAAATTATTTCAAGATCCTCAATTTCAAGTTCGCTCGGCAGCTTTTACCTTTATGGCGATGCCTACAATTTTCGTCCAAATGTTGCAACTGTTTTATCATTCTAGGCTTTTGCCTGCATTAGTCATGGCACTTGACACTGAACAGAACGACACAGTAAAGGTGCGAGAGATGTGATTTTTTCTGTATATACATAGATAAATGCAGGGTCAACAACTAAAATGTCACCTGTTCACTGCTTCAATGCATTGATTTTAATTTTATATTCATTCCTTCTAGACCTTGGCATATTATTAATAGTGAAGCCTTGAATAAATGAATATTTTGTGGTGAGACAGCCATAACTAAATGGGCTTCTCATCATTATTCGTTGAGATGTGCACCCTCCAACTTATGACACAATCCTTGACATGACTAAACTGATGTATCATGACTACGGCTTTGGCATAACAAATCTCGACACAACAATAGCTTCTTGCTTTTTAGTTAGAGAAACAATGACTCCCCCGTTAACCTGTTTATTTCTCCTTCTTCAGTTCACCTTTTGTCCGTGTTTTTGATTTGTTAGAAAATGTGTAGAATTTTGTTCCCCTCATCTAATTGATTCTTCCTCTTTTGCTTTGAAATTTTTATGCAAGTAATGAGTCTCCATTCCTTACATTCTCACTCTTACCAGGTACGACATTAATGTTGCATGTACCTTCATTATAAATTTTTTATAATTATAATTATAATTTTGTACTGCTTTAATAGGAACAAGCTGCTTCCGCAATGCTATACTTCCTAAAGAACTCTCTTCCTGATAGCTGCTTCTTGTGCAAGGACCTGGATACTGTAATAAGCCAAGTGTTGATATCGTTGCAGGTAGAAAGATATCCTTCTATATGATTCTGCATTCCCCTTTGAAGGCGTGTCATAAATGCAATCTTTTCTTCCTTCATGACATTAAGAAGTAAAGGTTCAGGATTTCGTAGAACATAAAGGCTCATGACTTCCATATGATGTAGGAATTCTTTTGGAGCCATAATATTTTGTTTCTTAGGAAAACCCACATATTTGTTTATCTCAGACTTCAGTTTCCACGGACAAGTTACTGCATGTTTTTTTAAATCTTAAAGTAGCACCAAACTTGTTATTCCTCCATTTTATTTTTTAAGAAAATCCAAATGAATGTTCTCTTAAAATTAGTTTATACTAATATAATCTCCATCTCTGTGGTCCTCTAATTTGATTCTCCCCAGCTTTCTGCACGCAGGGTGACGTAACTCCTAAACACAAGAGTATTCTTTTATCAACTTTTAATATTGTTGCAGAGCGATGTGCTGCAGTAGCTCTAAAGTAATCTTTTCCATCTTTCAAAAGTTTTCCTTGTCTGTTTGATTAGTGAATTAATGAAATACTGTCACTTTTCTTGTTTTATCAGCAGGTACCATGTTAATTATCTTCCGATCTTACTGGAAGCGTGCAATGACAAGAATTCTGAAGTTAAAGAGGTTTCCTGCCCCCTTTCTCGGTTTTTATTGTTGTGGAAGTTATTCCATTTGCAAATATTTCACATGAAAATTGCAGGAAGCAACACGGGGCATCCGAATTTGTGCAGAGTCTGGATCACTGCAATTCAAGCCTTTCATCAAGGGTATCTTTTTTATATATGTTATGTCAACTCGAAATACGATTAAGAACTTCATCTTTGTTCTTAACTTAGGTTTGTATACCCATCTTTACTTCAGGGATACTGTCCAGACTCAACATTTTAATGCAACATGCAAGCCAGCCACTTCTGGAGAATGCAAAAGCAAATGATATTGCAGTTTCTGCTCTAGGAAGAATCTGTATATGCCACGGTGACTGCGTTGATGCTTCAAAAGTAATACTCCTTTTGTTTCTTATTATAAGAGACATTTGATGCATATGGTATTTTCTTATATATAAGAGACATTTAAAAGTTGTCTCCAAGTTTTTGTGTTGATTTCTTATTTTGCCTCCCATTTATTTGTCATTAATATTATTATTAATATTACCGTATTTATTACTCCACACTGAGCCTGAAGCACTTTGACATCATCATCTTCCCATCTTCACTTTCTCTCTCCGATGTAAAAGCAACTTCTTTTATCCTATTGGCAACCTATTTCTTTTTTGTCTTGGACTCACACTCTTTCCCCCTTCCGCTTTTCTTTCTTTTAATAATTTAATTATTCTCTCTCATGCTCTCTCTCCTTATTAATGAGCGCATTTTTGGAAAAAAAATTATATTTTTTACATATTGATTGTCTTTAACTAATTTTAACTATTTTTTTTATTAACGTAATTCGATTATTCGTCTCTTATAATAAGAAATGGAGGGAGTATATTTTTTCTTCTATCAAAATTTTCTTGCAGGATTAACTTTGGCTTTTGTCTTTGAATGATAGAAAGAAACATCACATTTATATTTATGCATGTTGATTTTGAATGAGATTATGTTCAGGTTCTTAGCTTTCTTTTATGTTCGACATAAAACTCTATCTTTGTATTTCCGTAGCATTTTTCTTCCGCTTAAAAGCCTTGACTTTTCCGTTGCATAAGTAGCTATGAAATAAGAAAACATAGAAAGAGAGGAATCGGGAGGATTTATAACCTCAAGCAACATTTCACCGTTCAGAATTTGCCCTATTTTGAGCTAAGCATTTATATTGAAGAGTTCTTGATGCTATAACTAATTGCTAATAGTAGTGATACTTCTTGTTATCTTTCTGATTGAAATTCAGAATGTAAGCAAGTCAATTTGATAGTAGGATTGGAGGTCTCACTCTTTTCAACTTCAGTCTTAGAGTTTCTGAAGTAGAAGTTATTGACCAGAGATTGCACGCAGTTATATTACGCTCCTCAGGTTCTGGAGAACGAGTGAAATACAGTATAGAAAGGGAAATATGATAATTTTGTACATGCAGGCGTTATTAGGAGAAGGGGGGAGGGGAGCGGAAGGGAGAGAGGGAGAGGGAGGGAGGGGGCTTAAAGTAGAGCTTGCAGTCAACAAATTTCACTGATATGTTTACATCCATGCAGAACCTGGCATCTTGCTGTAAAGATAACTGCTAGGAATTAGATAAATATATTAGCGGACTTTATTTATTTATTTATAGCATCTCAAGGTCTTAGGTTAAAGTGAGCGTCGACTTACTATAAGAACCTCTATAACTAATTGGTTAGAAATTTTATCGTTGTTGCCTCCGGTTGGTCATAATGAAATGAAACTTCATCACAAGGTGAAGTAGGTATAAGCATTGATTTGTCCATGTTTCAAGCCTGAAGAATTTCAAGTCAAGTAGTGTTTTGTCGATCATGATAAAAATTATTTGTTGCCCTTCACTAAAACTTTGGAGTTGAAGTTTCTTAGAAAAGAGTATACATGATCAACTTATGCTACTTTTTCTTTAGGTGACATAACCAAAGTGTTAAAGAAAAAGGTTTGATCCCATTTGCATAAATCTGCAGCTTGTTCCTACCTGGTTAAGCTTATTGCCCCTTAAAGATGATTTGAATGAGGCCAAGATTATGCATGAACAGCTCTGTATAATGGTTTCAAGGTGAGAAAACTTTAAACCCAATAAGAAAAATCTTTTATGAAGATGATAATAATTAATCAATAAAAAAATCAGATAGCTTTGAGTGCTACAGCAATTGATTAATTGAATGCTTGGTTATATTTCAGGTCAGATATGGATCTTTTAGGCCCAGGAAATCAAAATCTTGTCAAGATCATTGCAGTATTTGTTGAGGTGAGTTGGCAACTTATATACATATCCTCTGCTTTTCATTCCTGTTAGATAAAAAGCCAAGTAAGCACTGGATAGGATACAAATTTATGACATGGGACACCTTTGAATCTCTGGATGATGAGTTATTTGATTCTTATGAACTTGGTTTCTTGAAAAAAACATAGCTTTGAGACTCTTATATTTATGGGAAAAATGGGACAGTCACTGTCCTATCAGAGATTTCTCATGGAAAAATAATTAGCGAGGTATATGATCAAAGATGTAAATTGAGTCCAGACTTGTTTTCAAAGATACGGTGCAGAGGACAGCTTATAATGAATATTGACTAGCTGACATCGATGACTAAGACGAAGTACTAGATTTCTTTTCCTCTGTTCATAACTTTCTTTGTTAACTTTTATGCTGTAAGATTTTTTTTTTCCCTGTCAGGTTATTGATAAGGGTAGCAGATTAGCTACACCAGAAACTGTCAAGAAGATGAGTCATTTGCTGAGGGAGTTTGGAACGGCCATTCCTCGCAGTTCTTGGGACTTAATGTTGTTGTCATTGAATGCCCAACAGCAGCAACTGTTGTCGTCCCTGATATCATCTTAAGATTATTCATCTTGATGAGTGCTATTTGGAATATCCGACAACATTCAAGATGGATGTGTTTGGTACATTTGAATGCAAATTAACAAGTGCTATCCAAATACCAGAATGTCATAGAATGATATCATGATATGAGACAGTACCATAAAATGGGATTTCATATTCCACCATTTGTAACTTGCCTCTTGGAAAAAAATTGAATCGTATCATTCTATGACATTTTATATTGTAATGATTGTATTCAAAATGCCTTAGCATGTGAGACATAAGCGTACCAAATGCTTCCTGATGTTCATATATTTTTCCTTTTTTAAGAAAACATTTGAAGAAGAGAAGATAATCATCATCACACTCTCGAGGCATAAGAGTGTTTCTTGTATTTGAGGCATTGCCATGCTAAGAGTAAAGGGCTGGGATTTTCTTCCATTGGTCAAGGCATGTTCTTGCGTAGTGTAACGTTTGTACAGATTGGCATAAATTGACTTTAACAAGATGACAATATAATATATATGAGTACATTTGTTTCTTTATTTTGTATTAATCATAAAATGAATTTAGGATAAATTAAATTTGAAGATGACCAAAAATGACAAAAAATATTTCTATTTCTGTTACATTTATTATTTTTTCCAAGTTATCTTTATTTTGTTATACTCATTGATGCATTCAATTAATAGGGATAACTTTCAATATAAATAACTTCCAGTATAAATTATTAAAAAGGTCAGCACACATTTTTATAAATAACTCTTTTTTTAAAATATGTAAATTAGTTATCTTACTATAAATATCGCTTTCAACCCCTAAAGTAGCCTTTTATAAAATGATAGGAATATATAATTGAGTTAAGCTGGATTCAATATTTTAAAATATTTTCTCACGTATATCTAATACCATAAAATATTTTGTAGTGTATTTAGTGATCTAACACTTTAAAATATTTTTTGATGCATTTAGTATCTTTAATATTTTTTTATGTGCATCTAGTAATAAAAAAAATATTTTTAGTACTTATAACTTTGGCGGAAAAAAAAATTCAGGAGCGCACAAAAAAATAATTTTTTACTTTTAATATAAAAGCTAGATAATTAATTGAAAAAGATTAAAAAAAATTAGTTGAGTTAATTATTTATAACAAATCTGTGTTGACTTTTTTTTATAAAAATTATTCCTATTCAATTATGTACTACCTTTGTCCTAAATATTACCTCTGGTCCTAAATATAAGAGTTAGTTGACTAATTTGAATAGATTAAAAAAATAAGTTAAGTTATTTATTTGTAATAAATATATATTATCTTTCCTAAAATATCCTTGCTAATTAAGTTTACTAATTAAAACGACTACTATTAGAATAACTATCTTGGAAAAAATAAATGAATATAAGAGACAAAATAGATTAGGGTCTTATATTTAGGACCAAAATAAATGTCAAACGAGGTCTTCTATTAAGGACCAGAGGTAGTATAAAAGCTAGTTGACTAATTTGAATAGATTAAAAAAGTAAGTTAAGTTAGTTATTTATAATAAATAGGTATTTTCTTTCTTAAAATATCCTTACTAATATAGTTTATTGGTTAAAACTATCATTATTAAAAGGATTATCTTAAAAAAATGAATAAATATGAGAGACAAAGTAGATTGATATCTTATATTTAGAAGATCTCGTTTGAATTTTATTTTGGTCCTAATTATAAGACTCCAATTCATTTTGTCTATCATATTTATGTATTTTTTCTAAGATAGTCCCTCTAATAATGGTAGTTTTAGCCAATAAACTTGATTAGTAAATATATTTTAGGAAAGATAATACCTATTTATTATAAATAACTAACTTAACTTATTTTTTTAATCTTCTCAAATTAGTCAACTAACTCTTATAATTAGGATAAGAGGTAGTACAATAAATTTAAAAGATAAAATAAATTAATATCTTAAAGGGTTAAGGTGCACCCAGCACCCCCAAGTATTTTGCCAGGTGCACCCAGTGACCTAAAGTAATTTATGGTGCAATTTTGCCCTCAAAGTAATTAAAATGGTGCACCGGTATCCCATGCTAACAGATTTGTTACTTTGACCGTTAAATTGATGAGTCAGCACAAGTTTGACCAAAATAATCTGACGTGACATGTCTAATAAGCGGGTGATGTGGAATTTTTTTGGGGTTAAGGTGCATCCAGCACCCCCAAGTATTTTTCCAGGTGCACCCAGTGGCCTAAAGTAATTTATGGTGCAATTTTGCCCTCAAAGTAATTAAAATGGTGCACTGGTATCCTATGCTAACAGATCTGTTACTTTGACTGTGAAATTGATGAGTCAGCACAAGTTTGACCAAAATAATATGACCTGGCATGTCTAATAAGCAAGTGACATGGCTTTTCTTGTTAATTCCATTGTTTTGTCTGAATATTACTCTTCTGATCCTATTTATAAGGCACTTCCAGCATGTTTCACACAGACCAAGGAAAACCTTAAATTTTATTAACTCTCATTTAAATTTTAATAACTTTTCAACTTTATCCCTATTTAATATACGTTATACCTCATATAAACAAAGTCAATACAATAATAAATGAGGGGTAAATTTGTACATCCATACAAAAAATTTCTCTTAATGCCTTATAAATAGGACCAAAAAATATCTTCTCTCTCTACCCTATAAATAGGACCAGCGGAGTATCTCTGAAAAAATTTCTTACTCTGAAAAAAATTCCAAGAGCCGAAGAGAGCATTTACTGAACAGAGAAAACAAAGTAGTGGCAGACGAAAAAAATTCCACATCACCTGCTTATTAGACATGCCAGGTCAGATTATTTTGATCAAACTTGTGCTGACTCATCAATTTCACAGTCAAAGTAACAGATCTGTTAGCATAGGATACCGATGCACCATTTTAATTACTTTGAGGGCAAAATTGCACCATAAATTACTTTAAGCCACTGAGTGTACCTGGAAAAATACTTGGGGGTGCTGGATGCACCTTAACCCCGAAAATATTCCACATCATCTGCTTATTAGACATGCCACGTCAGATTATTTTGGTCAAACTTGTGCTGACTCATCAATTTAACGGTCAAAGTAACAGATCTGTTAGCATGGGATACCGGTGCACCATTTTAATTACTTTGAGGACAAAATTGCACCATAAATTACTTTAGGTCACTGGATGCACCTGGTAAAATACTTGGGGTGCTAGATGCTCCTTAACCCTATCTCTTATATTTACTTTTTTTGTATCGCCTGCTGCCTCTTACATTTGGCACAGAAGGTAGCAGTTGTTTGAAGGATTGGCGGCCACGAAATCAGATCATAGCCCACGTGTGTATCAAAATCTGACCTTAATGAGTAAATTTAGGAGAGGACCAGCCTGGGTTCTCAAGTGCATGTCAATCTCCCATCTTGATCGTCCTTTCCAAATTCTTACCGTTATTCCATTTTCGTTTCCATCTTCTACGATCTCCCCAGTCTGCACTGAAAATGGCGGAGTCCTATGAAACGGTCAATCCCAAGCCGAACGGAGCATACGTCGAGGTCGCCGCAGAGAAAGACGTTGATGGAACCTTTCCGGCGACAAAGGGTGGCTACGCCAAGGAGAGGGAGACATTGTACGAAATCCTTCACCATATGGTTTCCGCAATTTTGGTCGCTGATCAGGGAAACAACAGGGCACCACTGCTGCACCGGATCAAGACCTCCGTCTCTCAATACGCTTCTCGCATTCCTGAGGCTTCTAGAAACACAAGTCAGGATGTTCTTCTGTGGACCCGCCAAGGCAGCCCTCTCCGGGCTCTCCTTGTCGTCTCTGTAAGTATTGGTGGTCGCTTTTGTGTTGTGCATCACAAACTTCGTAATGCATTGTTTATGTGAGGTTTTAAATTGAATCTTGTTTGCCCATGTGGTGTCTCCTTGTCATCTCTGTAAGTATTGGTGGTCGCTTATGTCTTGTAAGTCACAAATTGAATCTTGTTTGTGCATGTGGTGGATTCCGTGAATCTTAGGCGAATACCTTGTGGAATTTGATATTGAATTTGATTCACTGTAAGTTTGGTTGTGGAGCTTATGATTTATGGGGGATACTCGGTTTATCAATTTTTTGGTTCTCACTACAATGTTTGTATGCTTAATGCAAGCATGGCAACAACGGAGGAAGCCACTAGATGTGCTTTACAGTGTTACATATGTTAGTAAAATCGCTTCGGCTTAAGTTTTAGGGATCAAATGTTCAAATTGTTCCTGAAAAATTAGTGAGGGATTCATCCTTGTGCAATGACCACCATATCTTTGTTATTTAAAGCTCTTGGAGAAATATGTTCTTGAGGAAAGATACTTCTGGCTAATTGTTTTTCTGAAGACCCATAAGCATGTATACCCCGTTCTCAAGCTGCCAAAGTGAGAATGAGTGTTTTGAAAACGGAAATACAATTTTATTTCATTTATTCACAAACCTTTTTCCACCCCACAGCTTACCCACCTTCGAGTGAAGAAAGAATGTTATTTGATTGTCATTGCAGTTCCAATTAGATTTGAAGTTTGATAACTCTGCTATATGGTAAGATCGAGATGCTAGAAATCTGAACTACAGGATCCTTTTTGAAACCAGTCAACTTTAGGGATTTGAGAGAAATAAGAAGAAGAAAGATGGAAATCAAATGTATTATTCATGATAGAGCACATGCTCATACAATTATTGTAACACACTTGGGTTAACACTAATCATCCCTTACACAAGGGTGATGAACAAACCCCATAACCTATGAGGATTCTTAACGTGGGACCCAAGTTAACCTCCCCTTTTTATGGTGAAGATTACATTATCTCACACCCTTAACCTGTGCACTAAGACCCTATTTATAGAGTTTAACTCAATTATCTAATGATATTTTTACCCTCTCTTAACAAAACCAGTGGAAAGATTTGCCTGATTATTATTTTTTTTCCGTATGTCTTATTTCCAAGCCTGATATGATGTGATGCTGCATTTCTAGATTTGAAGTCACCTATGAGATGTTACCATCCATTTTCATATTTAACATACTTTTGCTATTTTAAATTTCAATTTTTGGTTGGCTCATTGAGCAGTTGAATTGGAACTTTCCTTAAGTTCATGGGTACTAAATGCATGATTTGTGCTTATGTGTGATTTCACCATATTACCTATGACGATGTAGACCTTAGGACGTCTTTATTGCCTCCGTGCAATTTCAAAGTTCAAACATCATCTTGCTCATCCTATACTTCATAGCCACAAAACCAACTATTGCCTACCTAAGATTCCTGCGTTGTGCTTCTCTGTTGCCTGTAATTTATTTATTTTTGGTTGAAGGATTTTCTTGTAAAATATTGGGAACAAGAGTTCATGTTATTGCCATAAGCGGTGCAAATCAATTTGTCGTCCAGCCTATTCTATCAAGAAGTACACGGATTGTGCTAATGTTCTTGTTGTACTTGGGCTTTACTGATGGAGACTATGGGGAGTTTGGGAAGCATTAAAAGCACTTAAAAAAAGGTGCTTTCACACAAGTCGAGACAGGACTACAACTCATATGTAGGAATAGGTCATCTGGCACTTTCATTGTTTGAGTGTTCTTTTAAGAAGATTGACAGAAGGATAGCTTCTTTTTTTTTTTTTTGACCAAAAAGATAGCATATTTCACAACGGAGCTAATATGTCAGACATTGACATGGTGGGTTACTTATGAAGTCAAAAATGTATTGAAATGTTTCCAACCTGTTTCCTCAAGCATAAATTTGCAGTCCGGTTTAAAAAATTATGGTCTTCTTATTCTTTTTAAATAATGAGAATGATGCTCATAGAGGGATTATATTCCAATCATTCATATGCAAGAGGGAGTTATTAATTGTTTCCTTTCCATGCTGGGTGACATGGAAAAAGGTTTGGTTGTCAGTTTTGATATCATCTGTTCTCAACCTTTAGTAATTACAATGTTGACATGAATTGTTTCTACTACCCATGCATGATAAATAAATAAATAAATAATTGCCTCTCTGAAAGGACATTGTTTGGCAGAAGACTTCCATCTTCTGTGAAGTTGTAATATCAAGAAAATATAGTATGTTAATTTTATTTTTCTATTGCTTTGGATGTTGTATATCTCATTTGGTTTTCAATTTGCTTCCCTGTTTGTTGCAGGTTGGGACGATCACTCTTGTTTCTTTGACAGGGTTGTTTGTCTTTCTGCTTTTGGTTCTGGCTGCAACTTTCAATGCCATTGTTATTTCACTTTTTGTGTCTTTGGCAGTAGCAGGAGGATTCTTGGCACTTTTCTTTGCATCTGTAACAGCTATATATATTGGAGCATTGTCAATAGCCATATTTGCTATTTGTACGGCTTCATTTTGGGCAATTGTGGCTATACTTGTAACTACAGGTAAGAAGTTGATTGATCGCTTAAATTCCTTTATAGTAATCTGATCTGGCATTCTGGCTTAATTTTTTTTTTAACTATTTCATGGCATATGTGCCTTTATAAATTTGTAATTCTAAATAGGAATTTAAGTGATACAACAGGTTAATGACTATGCTTGATTGATGCTGTGCCCAGCCGAGTTAAGGTTTAGCCTACAAGAAGTAACATCTGGTCGTTAAGAGTAAACAAATTAAAATAGGCTTTGTTAGCTTAATGAACGTCTACAGTTTTGCACTAATTTCAGTGATACTAGGCACATGCGCTTGTAAGGAACCAATGTCTACAAATTTGCATTAGTTTCAATAATACTAGGCATATGTGCTTCTAAAGGGCCAGTTATCGAACTTTCTTATTAGGCTTATATATGGGCAGATAATTACCCATGAGGAAGTTTTCTGGCATCGCCATACAATTCCACCGCAACAACATTTTCTCTCTTCCATTAGATGATGTTTTAGGCTTCCCCTGAGGGATTTTCTATCATGTTGCCTTTCTTTTGGGCTAATATTAATACTACAATGTTTCTGGTTGCCGCCCTTTTCTGAAAATATTGAAACTACTGAATCAGGTTGGGTTGGATTCTTCTGCACCTTGTGGTTGGCTACCAGAAAGGGCTTTGAACTGGCTAAACAATTCTTGACTGTGACTAGCTCTGCCATAACAAATTATGCCGATGCTCGGCATCCTCTCAAGATCGAAAACTTGGACTCAGATTGAAGCTTATCATCCAGAGAAGTTATGCACAAATCTGTATATTGCTGCTTCTGTGCATGCTTTTTGAGAAGGCATCGTCTCCAGTAGACCAAAGTCCAAACTAGTGTGATGTGTTGTCCATAATCCCCCTGGATCTGACACGCCTGTGATTTTGTTTATTTTCACCAATGAGCAAGAGATGGTTTGGTAGTTTGATGTTTTGTGTGATTCGAATAAAATAGTGGGTTTTCTTTCCACGCACAAAAGTTTTTTAAAAAAAAAAAATCCAGCTCACTGATGTTGTCGATTTTGTGTTGCATGTCATGTGTTCTTATCAATGTATAGTTAATCTAGGTTCCTTGAGGTTGATTAAATTTAGTTCTCTTGAAAAATATTTTGAAAGTAAGATAAAATTAATGAATATTACAATAGTGAACTGTTTTTTTTTTTTTAATCGGCTTGAAAAATTGAAGACTAATCCTAAAAGTTATGAATACATAAAGAAGAGAATTAATCAATATGATTCTACAACTGGAAATTATAGGAAATGAATACCCCAAATGCTTCAATTCGGGGCTTTGGGGTATAATGCCATGTATGAGATGAGATGGAATGTTAAGAGTCTCGTTCTCAAATATTATGGACATTTCAACTATATAATTATGTTTCTTAATTTCTTTAAACTAAAGTTGCCAAATATGAGTTGGGCTTGTTGGGTCTATTTAGGCTCATTCAAGGGCTGACCTTTAAAAATCAGGATTTGTTTGGGATAAAATGATTTTGAGGTCTGATCTTAATAAACTCCAAAAAAAAAAAAAGGACCCGAGCTAATATCCGTATGCCCATTTTTTTAAAAGAAATATTTTATCGAAATTTCTTATATCAATTTTTGTTCTGAAAAGTCAAGAAAATGACAAAATTTGAGTACTTGGGCTCATGAGCTAAAACTGGTTTTTTTCTCTTAGGCACAGATGTGTTTATTAAAAACAATCATGTTTGAAGTACTGTAATGCACTAAATATGTGCACTTCTTTTAATAGAAATTTAAATTTTGATTTGTCATATTGTAAAGAGCTAACATCTTTTTACTAAACTCAACCATGTTGGTCAGGAAATGAATGTCCTGAATGCATGGCTTGTTAAGCATTAAACAAAGACAGAAACCTTGAAAATTTTGGTATGGAATGTGACTTTTTTTCGTTTGAGCAAAGTATGGAGTGTGCTTCTTAATCCAAACTTATTTAAAATAATAATTAAAGAAAAGAAAGAGAGATAGCGCTTAAGGAGGCCCAATAATCCCCAACTCTTCCTGGCCCACTTCACACGACACAGCTATTTTCATTTTGCTTTCACATTGTTGAGTTGGGGTGGATCAAAGCTTGGGCTCAGAGGTGTATAAATATGAGGAACGGAAATGTGTTAAACCCCTATTAGAAGTTTACGATTTAATCTACTTTGAGCTTAATCTAGAATATTTAATGAGTAAGTCAAGCTCATATTCAGGCCTATTGTCAGATCTAATCGATACAAGTAGAGTTATATATATTTGATAGACTAGGATATAAAAGAAAAAAAGCTTTAAGTTTTGATTAAATATTTTGAAGTATTATAAAACTATTCATAATAAGCAATAATCTATATGCCTTTGAGTTGTTTTCATGATATTTTAAAGAAAAAAAATTATATCACACAATGTACAATATATATTGCCTTCCTAAAGTTTTCCTTTTTGTTCTGTGTTTCCTCAGCCATTTCATGGTTTTATAATAGTTTATTTAACTGAGTGAGTTTTAATGTCAGTTATCTATTTCACTTTTTAAAATAATAGCTGTTCTATTAAACAAAACATTGCTTATTGCATTTGGGGTTCGAAAATGGCATTTTTTTGTAGTAACTAAAATATGGTAAGTTGGTGTTATGAGTCCTATATTAGGAAATCTCATAAGTATTATGAGGGTTATAAGAGGCTCTCCTTTTTAAAAAGCTAGTCTTTTGGAATTAGGCTCTCCTCTTGAACTTATGCTCATCACATTGGTGCTTTCATTGAGAGCCTGATGTCATGGAAAGGGCTACCCACGGAAGGTTCTAATTAGCAAGAGACTGAGTGAAGTGCCATGGTGTGAAGCCACCAGGGACATCAGTTCTAGAGGAGTTGCATTGTTATAAGCCCCACATTGGGGAATCTCACAAGTGTTAGTAGGTTTATAAGTGTAAGATGATTTTCTTCCTAATAGGCTAGTCTTTTAGGATTAAACCCTCCTCTTAAGCCTATGCGCATCACGATTGTTGTAAATTCCATACTGGAAAATCTTATAAGTGTTATGGGGTTTACAAGTGTAACAAGCTCTTCCTCCCAATAAGCTAGCCTTTTGAAATTGAGCTCTTCCCTTGGACTTACTCCTATCACGGTTGGCAATACTTATATTTTGTTTATATTTAAGATTGAAAAATGTCATATTAAACAAAATAAAACAAATCAAAATGCATAAGTGTATCTTACCAAAAGATTTGAGAACTAATTAAAGTATAGCACGGAATTTTTTCCCTGAGGAAAAAAAGACTCTTTATAAGCCTCTTTGTGGTTTCTCTAAGTCAATACATATGCAGAAGTTGCCTGAGTTATGAAGGCAACTTCAAACTCATAATAGTCAATAAGCATGGCTTGAAAATAAGAATTAGACTTTATCAGATCTAATTTCTCATTGTTCCACGTTAGTACCTGGCCTTAGCGGTAGAAAAAGTCAGGAGACATTAATTATTTTCTGCATCTCTATAATTACTTTTAATTTTTATTACCAACATAAATTATAAAAACCAAAAATCGGTGATTGAAGCCTCAATGAATGGCAGTCTTATAATTTTTCTATTATTCCAATAAAAGTCAAGATGTGAAAGATTTGAAATCGTAAAATGTTTTATATTGAGGTAATAACAGTTATATTATGATTACCTTTAGTCAAACAATTCTTTGAAATGACACACACACACACACACACACACACACACACACACTCTGAGGTGATACTAATATTTGCTAACAACAGAGATTTTGACAAAAATTATCACAATTCTAAAGATTATGTTAGTCAATGATAAAAGTTTAGGTAATTATAGGGATATTGACTAGAATTGATCATAAATCTAAGGATCAAGACTTATGCACTTCCCCTTTTGTATTAAATTACTATTCGTACTAACTAATTTAGTCAATGATAAAAGTTAAGGACTCAAGGTTATTGTATATTCTCTCCCTTAAAAAGTTTTGGTCGTTGAATTTGTTGAGAGGTCATAAATCCCCATAGGAAAAGAAAAAGGTAGGTTTTTTTTTTCCATACAATGACTATGACATGAAATCATGCAACAAAGAAAATAAAGTAATTATTGGATATATTAACTGATCCCTATGTTTTTTTTTTTTTAAGAATTAGAGACGTGGACACTAACAGGTTAAAGTTAGAAACGAGATTGAACACATAACCTTCTACTCATAGGAGAGTTTTCATATCACTAAATCATAAAGTCATTAGCAACCACCCTCTATATCTCTATATTGTGCGCATATATAGTAGTGAGAAAACCAACAAACACAAAAATTAATAAGCATATGTGAATGCCTTATGATGCAAAACCATATGGTAGTTTCTCTAATTTTGATTAAAGTATTAATTAGATAGTAACTCCTTTAGTACTCTTTAGCAATAAGATTCAGGACTTGTTCTAGCAGTTATATTTTCTGCTTCACCCCCCCCTCCCACACACGCACAATTTTCAGCACCTTCAAAAGTTGGCTTCACTTTGAAGTGATTCTACAAAGCCAAGATTCAACTGAAACTACTACTTATTGTACCTCAATCTGTTTACAATCATATAGTTTAGTTGCTCATCTAACTGAATCAAGTACTATATATACAATCCAAGTAAATGAGAAGAATCTTTTAAGATATTTGCAAGACATGCATCGACACAACATGGAATAAGAGTCCAGAGAACTCCATGAAAATGACAATTCATAGGATTTAATGTTTCTCTTTCTTTATCATAAATCGCAAAGCATCTTTTATCAACCAATATTTTCAACAACGCCAGATCTACAGCTCCCTCCCTCCCCCCCTCTCTCTTTATATATATATATATATATATATATATATATATATTCATCCTCTTCTGCCAATATAATTCTCTTAAAATTTTAGTACACACATTTGAGATAACCTATGTGAATAAGAATCATTCCTTCTTTATTCTCCAATCCTCTTTTGTCTTCTTCATTTTCTCCATTATTCTAATGGTCTTTGTCTTGTTAATTTCTCTTAGATTTGTTATTTTTCATGACACTACAATTTTTTCTCTCTCCTGCTAATATTACAATTTTTTTTGTCTTATTTATATTTTAGTACGTCTTAGTGAAATCTGTGTGAATAATTAATATAGGGTATTACGTGGTGAGCTTACTAAATTAAAGCACCTGACAATTATTTTGCATGATCAGTTACACGTAGCATGATCATTTTGAAACTCTCACCTTCAAAACGTTCCTTCTTAGCCACTTATCCTCCATTTAAAGGATGAAAAATGACATTAGTCTTATTCGAATATTACTGTCTCCGGTTTTAATATAAAAGCTTGTTGTGTGGTTAAATTTGATCCTAAATAAAACCCCAATTCACTTTCTTTATGAAATTTATAACTTTTTTTCTAGAATATCCTTGATGATTGTAATTAAAGGGTATGTTAGTTCCAGTGCGCACAATTAAAGAGAATAATCTAAAGAAACCAACACTCATTTGTTATAGATAACCAACTTAACTAATTTTCTCAATATTTTTAAATTAGTTATCTAATTATCTATTTATTATATTAAAAATTGGAGGTAGTACATTCATATTTCAGAGTTCTTAAGATGGAAGTAAGATTTTGGACTAGTTTTGGCCAATTTAATTTGCTTAAAGTAATTGAAACACTCATTATTGACCCCTTTTTCTAACATTGACGTGATTGCTTGTTTGCTAATAGCAAGTTTTGGACTTAATATCCTTCAATTTTTAAGAAAAAGAACAGGAAAACTGTTCCCCCCAAAACACTTTGATGTGTTCAGGCATTGAAAATACTATCTTAAAACAAATTAATGAACTGATATAATTTAAGCAGTTATGCAATGGATATATATAATCTGCAAGATTTGATTTTGCAACGTATATATAGAATGAGTAAACATTAATTATCTTGTTTATTTTAACGTAACTAGATAATTAATTTGTAGAAAATAATTAGTTAAATTGTTGTGCAGTCAATTTTGTTTTGTTAATTAAATTAATTATATATGGTGAAATTTTATTCGGTATCAAGTTTAAGGCAATATCTCATCACCAACTTTAAGACTGGGATTATAAAAACATTCGGTTTTTCATACTAGATATATTGATTCCTGTATAAATTAATAATTAATTTTATTTTATTTTTATTTTATTTTTTCAAGAGAGGATGTTCTCATTCCTTAATAACCTTTTCAAAAGTATTGGGAGAAGGGGAGTAGCTAATGGGCAACAAAACTGAGAAATTAAAACAGGAAAAAGTTTCAACCCACCTCCTCGATCTATATATCTTATCAAAGTTTTTTTTCTCTTTTCTTTCTTGTACATTAATGAAATTAAGAAAAAAAAACTCAACAAAAATGTCCATGAAATGATCATAAGAGACTCAAAAAAAAAAAAAACAAAGAGGCTAAATCACCAAGGTAGAACTATATATAAAAGTATGAGGCCCCTTAATTGATCTTTCTCCAGTTGGAGCCAAATGATATATATGTAACTCGCCCTCTCCATTAAATCATGAAAGATTATGATGATGATGATGATGAAAAGCATAAAGACTAGTATATATAATTTGGATGAATGATATGGATTGAGAGGTAATAATAAACTCATAATTAATAATCAAAATTATTAATTAATTAGGCATGTCATTTGCCATTCCAATCTGGTCTTCCTAACGTAAACTCCAAGCTTGGGTTCTTGCACTCCAAATTAATGCATGATATGTTGTTGTCCTTCATTTGCCTTGAATCACACTCCTGCACACATATAAGTACGCAGCTAGGGTTTATACTTTTTTCCCAGAATTTAATGATTTTGAACTACTCATCCAACACCATATGTGTACAAACATTAAAAAAATTAATTAAATAGAAGAAATTAATGTCATAGAGGGGGGTACCTGAATTTGATGCCCTGATGATGATAATGGTGGTGTCTGCAAGGCAGGTCTTAGACTATCCGTCTCCTTGGTACTATTTTGAAGCCATGGCTCTCTACTACTGATCATTTCCCAAACCCAAACGAAAAAAACAATTAAAAATTGCCTTACCCTTAACTATAATATGATAAGTTATTTGCATCATAATGATTAATCATCCCAAGATTCTGTGTTTTTGAAATTATCTGTTTCTATGCGAAGCAAGGAAATGTGGGTTTAAGATCAGTAGAGTATATAATTAATGGTATACTTATATATAAAGTGCTCTAATTAACTTTGTGGGGAAACTTGTGATCGACGTAATTGAACTATCTTTTTTCCATTCCAGACATTAAGATATATAGAAAGTATTATTATTATTACCACACAACACACCAATTTAATTAACATTCTGAAGTTGAGTAAATTTTTACGAGTAGTATTTTATCTGAGGGAGTATTGATGGCTTTATATGTTTAAGAAGACAAGACTTTCATATGTAGTTGAAACTTATACACGTAATTCAAATTAGACCTCACCTACACTCTATTAAGTTAAAATCTGTAATTATATATATTTAATTTAGTTTGGAATGTTTCCGGAATTTAACTTGATGATCGTCTTATATTACGACGTGCGCATTGTATTCCCCGAGAAAAACCTGAGTTTATGGCTATAATTAAAGTTATAACATATCTTCCACATAAAAAAAAACAAGGAAAAACTAAAGCACAAGTACAAAGCACACAACACGTACGCACTTTTTCCTTGCCTAATGTGAGAATATTTGAAGAAATGTATAAGAAGCACTCAAAATGAAGGAATTAATCTTTTTTTCTCTTTTGGTTATTCGAAATGTCCATGGAAGGGAGAATAAGAACCACATCTTTGACAAAATTTCACTCATTCTCATCTAAAGCATAATTGATTATATATAGACGCGTAAATTAAAGGGGAGAAAAAAAGAAAAGAAAAAGTGTCTCTGTGCATATATGCAGGTGTGGGGGTGCCTTCCTTTAATCCTAGTTAACGTTTTGATTATGTCTTATAGCTTTCCTTTATTATACCAAAAAAGCCACAAATAATGTACCTACGTGGAAAACTTGTTTAAGGTGCAAAAGATATCGCATACATATACATATAAAAGAAGAAAAAAGAAATTAAAAGAAACAAGAAACCAACCACAAGTAAAGCAAAAGCTGCCACAAACAAGAGCCCTTTTTATTCGTCCAAAGGAAGAAAAAATTATAAATATACACCAAGGACGTGGGTTTCGCATTGAGTTCTAACAGTGAAAACCCATGCAAATTTAAAAGCAAAAAAGCAATGCAAAGCCCTCGTACTACAGCATCTCTCACACATATAATTATATTAATCAAATATATATATATATGAACCTCCAGAAGGGTACGTGAATCATATTATCATTATTCAAACTCAGCCTAAAGATGCTTGACTTCTCTGAACATATTCAATATATATATATATATATATAACTTGTACGTACCTTGAAGAATTGCTCCATAGAGTGGTGGTTGTAGAAGAGTAGTCCATATCTTGCTGTGCTGATCGATCTGTTCTGCTTCCTCTTTGATCTGCAAATATGTCATCTTCTCCAGATCCATCCGAGTGGCCTGCATCATCAAAATCCCAAGCCTTCCAATATTAAATCCCAGAACTTCATTTCATATGTATACAAACAGATATGAATATATTGCAGATCTCTTTAGTAGAAATGCAGTTTCAGATATGAATATATATATATATATATATATATATGCGCACAAACATTAGATTCATTATATATTTATATAATGCAGTTTTAGACATGTGAGCAGCATGTACATGTGAAATCTCTAGGTCAAGGGCAAAAGGGGTTTGAGTTTGGGGTAGTGTAAAGGTACATAGAAGAGAGCCAAAGAGAAAGAAAAGAAGGGTGTTTACAGTAAAATTGAGAAAAGCCAAGGTAAAAACAAATGGGTCTGAAAAGAAACACACATCTGATCAGTGACTCTTTTTTTTTTTTCCCTTTTCTTTATTTTGTTTTGACAAAACATTCATATGACCATACGTCTCTCTAAGGAAAAAAGATAAGGCTGCTAAAATCAAAATTTTGAAGTAATAAGGATTAAAGCAACACGAATTACCTGAAGAGGCTGCAGGCTTGTCAGTGGTCTTAACAGTTCGATACATCTGCATCAAATAATAAGCCACTTTTACTATATAAGGATAGAATAATCAACATATATAACTATTAAAAACGATGCCCATTATTTAGTTAATGGTAAATTCCTAATTTAAAAGGAGAAAAGTAGTCCGATTCTTCCATAGTATATTGTGGTGAAATGAGTGGGTTTGGTCATTAATCACGAGGTTGATGTTTGATAAGGTTGTAATTGGAGAAGTGTATTATTGGGAAATGATGATTTTTGTCTTGTTATCTATCTCTCTCTCTCTCTCTCTCTCTATTGAAAGCAGAAGGCTGTGTGTCTGTGTGGTCGTCTCAGACACAGACCGTAAACTTAATGGCACCTTCCTAACTGAGCTCACTTCTCGCTATATTATAGAGTAGCGTCTTTAATTCATTCACTGCCTTTCTTTCTTCATCGGCGACTGTGCCGGAAGGATAGATAGATAGACCATAAGACCACCAACACCACAAAAACCCATGACAGTAGAGAGAGAGAGAGAGAGATTAATAAGAAAATGATGGTGTTGGATCGATGAAATTAATAATTAAACTAAAGTCATTAAGCAATAATATTCTCTGTGTCTGTACCTGTAAATGGCTTTTGACATGAGCTAATGTAAGATCCTTCACATCCATCAGTTCTAGAACTGATTTCGGAGTCGCTCCTACATTAAAAATTCACCTTTCTGATCAATATATAACCATTATCTCAGACTTGTTTGTTTGGAAACAAAAAGAGAAGACCAACCTAATTCTGATCATGTATTGATAAGAGAATATATATACATATATAAATGTATAATAAGATAAAACAAAGAGTGTGATTAGTTAGTTGATTACTTTCATGGCCGCCGAGAAGCTCGACGGCGTGAACGAACCGAGCATGGAGGGTGGTGGTCCACCGCATTCTGGGAGCTCTCATGCTGCGTTTAGTGGGAAACTTAGGCAAGAATCTGGATCTCATGAGCCCACTACTGGGAGACGCGTCATGTGAAGAAGATGGCCCGACCATCCCATACTGATGATGATGAGATTTGAAAGCGTCTCCAGAAATCCCATTAAACCTGCCGGTGCCACCCCCCCTATACGCCGCCGCCGACACGGGATCCAACCCCCCGGCAGCCACCGCCATGTACGGAGAACCCGAAGGAGACGAAGAAGAAGAAGAAGGGAAAGAAGGATTGTAAAAGCACATCCTGGCTTGCTGCTGCTGCTGCTGATGATGATGATGATTATCCTTGTAGTTTTGGTCCACCGGCAAGAAAGGGAACGAACGGTTGTGATACACCGGAATCCCTTTGATGGGCCTCAATCCGTCCGGCGAAGAAGAAGGAGACACATCAAGCAATGATACTCCATAGTTATTCATATTATTGGGATTAATCTGGCGGTGAAGAAAATGGTGATGGTGGGGGGTCTGAAAATAAGGGTTCGCGTTGCCGTTATTTTTGCTATGGTGGGTCACTGGTTCTTGCGTTGCACAAGCAAAATTGCTTCCCAGTGAGAGTTCAGTTTGGGCATGAAAGCGAGGAGCAGATAAAGAAGAAGAGAAATTAGAGTTTGAAGAAGAATTATTAGTACTGTAGTGCCGAGCTTCATAGTTATTGTTGCTGCAAATCAAAGAAGAAGTTGATGGAGGGCTTATGTGAAGAGAAAGATCAGGAGGAGCAGAGGTCGACGAAGAAGAAGAAGCAGGTGGAGGCTCAATGAAAATCCCTGCTTCCAAGGGCATCTTCTTTTAAAAGGAACAAAGCTTGATGGAAGGCTCCTCTTTGTTACAGAATATATAAATATATCAGAGAGAGAGAGAGAGGAGAGATTTGGCTTTTTATTTGTGTAGAAAAGAATAAATCTGATACGAAACAAACAGAAAAGCAAAGTGCAATAGTAATTGACAAGCTAAATGAGACTCGATACGACTGCGATAATATTCACACTTGAGGAGGGGAAGATTGGTTGCTGCTCCCTCTCTCTTTTGCTTTTCTTCTTTCTGCACTCTCAGAAAAAGAATATCTGATGGCTTTGCAGGAGAAGAAGACTCAGAGAGAGAGAGAGAGAGAGAGAGAGATAGGCAACAAGAAACAAAGGAATTAAACAAACTCAACACAGAAGTACTGAATATGAAGACCGCCTTTACGAATTCCTTCCGAAGAAGAAGAAGGGGAAGGGACTGAACTGAGGAGGAGGAGGAGGGAGAGGAAGGAAAAAGGAATGGAAAGTGAAAAACACAGAGAGAGAGGAGGGGGTGGATTTGGGAGGCTGTTGTCCTGGGGAGTATATCTCGGAAAATGACACTACTAGAATAAGCAAGGTGAAGGCGATGAAGAAAGAGGAGCAATAAGGGATGACATTCTCTCTCTCTCTCTCTCTCTCTAAGAATGAGATAGCAATTAAGAAAACAAAATGTAACCCAAAAAATAAGGTCACCTTGGATTTCCCTTCCCCGGAGTCGACGGGATAAAAAAAATTACACCCTCATGTGTCATTCCTTTTCCCCCACACTCTTCGCTTCTCTCTCTCTCTCTCTCTCTCTCTCACTGTTCATATATATATAAAACTGGACACTTATTTCTTTGCTCAAATGGGAAGGCTAAGTCATAGCACTGTTACTTTCCTGTCTCTACAAAGGTTTTGATGAATCCCACATGTAATTTCAATGCCCTGCTTATATCCTTTTTCACTTTACTTATTATTACACTGTGGTTCTATTTATAAAGTAATTTTTTTTCTTTAGTATATATATGAGTTATCTCCACAAATTTATCATAACGTCTAATTTTATCCTTAATTTATTTTTCTGTAAATTATTATTTCCTTGTAATATATATTAAATAGGGATAAAAATAAAAATTTAATAAATTTTAAGATAGATGAGGTTAATGAAATTTTTTTTTTTAATTTTGGTAAAAAATGTTTAAAATATCTTATAATCAGAAGAATAAATATTAATCTCCATTGAAGTTGTAATAATTAATTAATTGTATGAGAGTGTATAATTTTATTTTTAAATTAAAAAAGGTTTCCGCGTTGGATTTTTTCTTTTTGTTGGTTGATCCATGTGCTGAGTAAAATAACACCGTATAAAGGCAGTGACCTCAGCGGAAGGGAGAAACAACCACAGAAAAAGGGCTTTTCGTTTGCTTCTCTATTTGTGTGCAAATGTACATATGCTTGCCAATTCTTAAACCATATATACTATTTCCCAAATTTTGTAAATACGTTGTATTATATATTCCATTATTCCAATTCCCTGTAAAATGCCTTCCAATTATTTCCAATTACACATATTATTCCTTAAAAGAAAAACCAATAATTGAATTCTCAGATTTGACGCCCCAAGTGTATGCTCTTTCCTACGTGGATATATACATAGGATTCAAACAAAAAGTTGATGCGTGTGTTTTAGCCCGAAAATTTAAATTTTTAAGTATTATAAAAAATTTATTATTATTATTAAGTATAATGTTATTCAAATATATTGTAAGCAATTAGAAATAGCATCGCTCTGACAAAACCAAGAACTAAGATAATTTTCCCAGAATTACAAAGGAATTGGAATGTTTACACTTAAAAAAATGAAAACAAATCACAGTAATGAAAATAAAAATATAAAAAGATTAATTAAAAATATAGTCAATTGATGTGACTTCAAAAACAATAATCTATAGTTATATGAATTGTGTCAATTTCATCTTTTACATGTGTGTGTGTGTATTCTAATTAGACCCGTACAAACCACCTTTCATTAGTCCATGCTTTATGTCCTTCATTCAATAGAAAAAACTAGTAATGAATTTCACAGCTGTGCACTTTTCTATATGGATTGAATTTTTTAAAAAAAAGGCACGTCTAGTACAAAATATTTTTTATTTAAATTCTTTAATTTTGGAAAGTGTCCTTTTAGTTAATTTCATTAAGGAAAAAATGTCAACATTGAAATTTTAAGTTTTGACAAAACATTCTTAAATATTAACATATGCGTTAAATTTTTTCATTAAAGTGTACCGAATATGTACTTTTTGCAATTTTTTTATTAAGAAGGTTGAACTTTGACCTCTCATCACCCCCATTTTATCACAAAAGTTATTAGATTAATTAAATTATTTACAAATACTTTCTTAATTTAAAAGCAAAACGTTCGTATTTCTCATAGCCGGTATCATGGGATCATTAAACTCATACTGGGAACTAAGCTAGCCCTTCCCCTTAATTGCTGACAACGTAGATGACCTAGCACCAGGCTTGTCCACATGTAGCAGTAGCAGTATCAAGAGAAAATTACAATGAGGTCCCATGCAAGAAAATTTTTTTAAAACAAGTCCTAGAAATTGTTATTCTCCACTCTAGAACTTATCATTACAGGCTGCTCAGGTTATTATTAGACCTTTTAGTAGTTATTTCTCTTGCATGGGATTTGATTGTAATTCTTCCTATTAATAATAATAATTAATCAAGACTGTAAATTATTAATTAATACTCCTTTGGTCCTATTTATAAAATAGAGAGAGAAGACCTTTTTTGGTCTTATTTATAGGGCATTAAGAGAAATTTTTTGTATGGATGTACAATTTTACCCTTTATTTATTATTGTGTTGACTTTGTTTATATAGAGTATAACATATATTAAATAGGGATAAAGTTAAAAACTTGTTAAATGTTAAATGAGAGTTAATGAAATTTAAGATTTTCCTAGTCTGTGTAAAATATGTTGGAGATGACTTATAAATAAGACTAGAAAAGTAGTATAGAGTTTTTTTTTTTAATGTACAGTAGTGTGCCAGACAACAACACTAATTCAGAGGCAATGTTTTCAGAGGCAATGTTTGGGAGGTTCAGTAATAAATGCCAAAAATAAAACTTATGAACAGTATCGATAGGAATAGAATAGTAAAGTAATTCAATATCATCTGTAAATTTGATTCTTAGAAACCCTTAATCTATATCTTCCTCTTCTTCTTCTTACTCCATTCTGTTTCCTTTTTCTGCCATGGTTTTTGACGGTTTGTGTGTGAAATGGTTTTTGCCCGACATACACAGAGAAGTAGTTAAATACTTCATTCAAATTGTTCGTCGTATAATGGCAACTATATTAAATTGTCCCAACCTCTGTCTTCTCACTGCTTCGCCTTGGAATTACATTATCAGACATTTTGTCCTTATCATCCCACTATAATTTTACCCTCGTTTCCTTAAACTTCTCAACCTTTTCCCATCTTTCAAACAAGTTTATTGTTTTTGTAGACATATTGGCCTTTCCCTAGCTAGGGTTTTTCCCTCGGTAAAAAAATGGTTGTAATTTATAATGCTCTATAAAATACTCCGTTGTATCTTTAGTTCTAAATATAGTACTAAATATAAGGTCTCTTATGATTTGTTAATACTTCTCTTAAAACAATTAAGATATCTAATCATATTCAATGGATTTGGCCCAAAAAAACTATATTAATTTAATGGAGTTTATTGATCTTTATAACTTGTCTTTTAAAAACGTGTTATAAATTGAAAGAGGAGTATCATCAGCACGAATCTAGCTTAATTAGGGGCAGAAAAATCATAGACTTTGAGATTTAATTGATCACACTGATGAATTATGAGTTAAATAGCATAACAATTCAGAACCCCTCGTTCATGGGTTCAGCTAGCGAAAGGGTCGGACACTCTTACTAAAGGGAGAGGGTTCGATCCTAAAGAGTGCCACTTTGTTGTGGCTCCAGTCGCGGTATTGGGGAAGGCATCACCACAATTAAGTGGAAGCGACCTCTTCTGGGGCTAATTCTCATGTGGTTAATGCCCTTTAGCCAAGGGGAGGTACAGACATGTGTACTCTCCTGCCTGGTCCGTAAAATCGTGGAAACATGAGTTAGATGCCCTGTCCTTGGATCGTGGGTGAGTTTGACCATTTTCCTAAAATTTGTGTATAAAAAAAATTAAAAAGCATAACAATTCAGAAATAACGTTTGCTCCAAAATCACTAGATTTAATGAGGTTCCTAATTTAGCCAGTAGGCGTCAGATCAATCAAATCACAAATTATATCAATGTTCTTCTCGTCGGCAAGTTTTATGTTATAATCATGATTCATGAATTTCAGGCTATTTTTTGTACTTATTAATTTCAGCTGTTAAATATAAATTCCAACCCCTGAAACTACTTCTCCTTCTAAAGTACGAGTGGCCAATGAATGCGTGTCTCTATGTACATGCACTTTTTCTTCCATAAGACGTCTTTTAAGAAAAAAATTAATAATTCATACCAATAATTATTTTCAGATATTATATTTATTACTCCATTCTTTTTTTTTTTTAATAAGAAACAACTATCAAGTACCATCTTTATCTTGTCCTTGTTTATAAGAAACATCCGCAAAATGTCTTAAGTTTTCTTGGTTAGTTTCTTATTTTGCACTTATTAATTATTTATTTTAATACTCAATTTAATCAATATCTCATTTCCTAGAGTATCAGTTTTTATTTTAATAATTTTTTTATTCTCTCCCTTGTACTTTCTCTCCCTCATAGATAAGGGTATTTTTTTAAAAAAATATAATTTTTACATATTTATTATGTTTAACTAGTTTTTTAATCTATGTTTCTTATAAATAGAGGCGGAGGGAGTATAATTTAATGTATAGGAGAAAATTTAAAGGCTAGTATAGTATAGTGTTTCTCTATAAACATAGGCAAAGTTGAAAAAAAAATTCTATTTTCAAACAAAGTTAATGAGTTAATTATTTTTTTTTCTTTTATTTCTGATAAGCTAGTTAGAGATGAAGAAGGCATAAAAATTTTGGATTTTATAAGCGCCACTATTCATTAGAGAATGTAAACATGAATTGCAGCAGCCACCTTGAGGTCAATGCATGCAATTCCATCAATCCATCGAGCTGGTTCTAATTTCACCTCTCTCTGCCTTTAATTGTCATCTTTTCACATTTGCTTTTCTCTTTTAGTCGAGATTTTTTTTTGACCAGAACTTTTAGTCGAGGTGATTCAGATTAATTATGAACTGTATAATTTAATTCATTTTTTTATTTCAGCATCTTGATTATAATAATAGATTGAAGAACCATCTAAAACTAATCACTTAATTTATTTAAACATGTAATTTAAATTTTGGGGAGGACAGTTGTTTACTTTTAATTGGACGAAATTAAATCATCTAAATAAATTTATTTGCTTTAAAATTGTTTCTATTTATACTTAAATTTCAAGAAAATATTAATTTTATATTTTTAATTATATATTAATCTTCATTAATTGTAAAATCTTGGTAGCCTTCATTATTAAAGTAAATTAAAAATATACTCTGTAATTTAAAAATGAAGTCATTTGAGAGATGATTGATT